AAAAAAAAAAAAAAAAAAAAAAAAAAAAGAAAGGAAGAGAGAACATTATTTTTAAAAAGCATTCAAGTTTGTTCATCAACAGCCCCTATTAAAGAGGACAACAAAAGAAGAGACTTTGAGGAGAAGATGCAAGTTTCAGTTAAAACAGGAGGTGGAGAAAAAGCTCCAAGAAGAGACTGAGGCTACAGGGAAGCTTTCTGGTGGTAGAAGACATGGCATCAATCTGATCTCAGCTCTACAGCAGTGCACAGCATCATCCAGGGGATCACTGCCAGGGGTTCCAGGAAACCTGAGAGGCACCTGTTCCTGAGTGAAAGATGAAGTCTGCAGGCCCAGAAAAATCCCCGTTTCCCTTGTCTTCTCACTCACATTATCCATGGTGGCTCCTGACTCCTTAATCATCTTTATCAAACCTCCTCCCCTCTCAGCCTACATGCTAGTTTTTCTCAGAAAATCCCTCATCTCTATGTCAAAGAGCAAAAGGATGACATCTTAATGAAAACACATCAGTGTCCTACCACGTGTCTAAAAGTTCTTGCATTTGTGCTCACTTTTCTTCCTTCTCTACAGCCACAATGGATGAGCGCTCCCTTCTCTTGTACTAGACACCAGCCTTTCTCATCTTCTTTTTTACTGTCCTACATCAGCTGTCTTTTTTAGCTTTTGGATCTTTAACTTCTCCCTCCGACCAATTCCTTTTCAGCCATATCAAAACATGCTCACTATACTCAGCTTTTAGAGAGTTCTCCCCAAATTGGATTCTCCTTGATTCTTCTGTTCTCTCTACCAGTTACAATTCTTGAAAGAGATTTCTACCCTCACTGTCTCCACTTTCATTTATTCCTTTTGTTCATCAAACCAAGGCACACCTAATGACCTTCCCTAACTCATCACTACCACCACGCCCTGAAAGTCTTTTGGCATCTTTGCTGTCCAATAACAAAAGAGTTTTTTAATCATTATCTTAAGCAACCTCTCAATTTCATCTGATACTGTTAACCACATCCTCCCCCAAAGGCTTTCTTTCGTACTTTTTCATGATATCATAAAGTGTTACTGCCATCCTTTTGCCTATTTCAGGCGCATTTGCAGGATTCTCTTCCTTTTCTATTTAAATAATGGGTTTCTTTGACACTGGGTTTCTAACCTACGCTGTCTTTTCTTTTCACTTTATAGCTGTGTTTATCCCAATTTTATCCTCTATAAACCACTAAATTTGCATTAAGAAACCACACAGACCACCAATTTGCATATTCAAAAAATAGGATTCGACACAATATTTAAAATACTTGTTAGTGGTAGTAATGAGAAAAACTATAGCTTCATCAGTGAGATGAATGATATTGTTAAATCTCTATCAAATTATATATATTTATCAAGATGATGAATATATTCAGCTCTGTATCACTTTATATATTCAGTAAGTTTCTTTTCTTACTCTGTTTCCACTAAATTAGAAAATCATAACTCATAATCATAAGTTAACAGAATGGGTGCCCATTTTGATTGTTATGGACAGTCAGGCCCAATATGAAACTAGAAATAATAGAGATATTTTTCTTTAAAATCTACTTTCAAATACTAATCAAATGCTAAGGTGGTTGATGAGCATATCACACTCAAAAGCAGATGGTAAAAAAACTAAACTTGGAAAATAACATTAAAGCAAATAGTATAATACTCCTCAATAGCATTCATCTTGGAGAAGAGTTTCTTCAGCCTTCATTTCCAGGACCTGAATAAACTATATAGTGTTTTTGTGCAGATCAGAAAATGGCAGTCCCTCTGAGAGCATGATGTCCTGATAGTACCTGCATTTAAATTAAGAGTTCCCGCCCCTCACTTTGGTGAGACACAGCATAGACCAGGGTCCCCAGTCTTAGAAAGCAGCATGTAGACTGGATTTCAGCACCCATTCAATTCAGCTGTACAGAAACTACACAATCATATTCAGTTTCTGTCCTTTCAACAACTGGATTTTTTTTTCTCCAATAAATCTTTGGAAATGGTCAAACTCTTAATGCTTAGTGATTTGTACCACATTAAAAACCATGATATTCAAATCTTATAGGTATATATGCAGTGTATCCAAGACATGGAAAGCATCATTTGATGCATCATTTCAGCCAGTCACTTAAAATAATGGAAATGGTATATACAGAAAACATCAGTGCTATGAAAATATTATTTTTAATCTCACTCCTATTGGAAAAATGCATGACAGTGATCATCCCTACATAACTAGTACATCTCAACATTGGAAAGAAGGATGTTGAATTCAGAGATCACAATAAACTTATGTAATTCAGTAGCCTTACTTTGACAGTGTTTACAATTTTTTTCTATGTCTTTTTACACTGAATTCAGAACAGAAGCATATTTTTAATCCCACATTTCCCTATGAATAAGGGTACATTTGCGACACCTTTTCTGTTGTGACCAATGGCTCATTCTCTATTAATATATATACCACTGGTGGATTTTCTCCAAGTACCTTACAAATTAATCTTTAAGTAACAAAGAATCACTCTTCATAATGCATGGGCTTTCTCTGATAAAGAGAAGAAAATGTCATCATATACTTCTTTCATATACAGTCAACCCTCCATATACACTGGTTCCCCATTGTGGGTTCCACATCCCTGGATTCAACCAACAACAGATAGAAAACATTAGAATTCCAAAAAGCAAAACTTGAATTTGCCCCACACTGGAAACTATTTACATAACATTTAAACTGCATTTAAAACTATTTACAGAGCATTTATATTGTATTAGGTATGACAAATAACCTAGAGATGGGAGATTTAAAGCATATGGGAGCATGTGCCTGGGTAATATGCAAATACTATGCAATTGTGTATAAAAGACTTGAGTATCCTAGCATTTGGTTTCTGTGGGGGGTCCTAGAACCAATCCCCTTCCAATACCCAGAGGCAACTATATAATTATTACAGATGTGCAAAGAGTTATTCATATGTTCCCTATACATGGTTAAATCCAAATAAACTGTGCAATACTTGCTATCTCATGTGAGAATAATCATGTTTCCACACTGCATTCCAGGGACATTATGGGACATCCTACAAATCCATTTAATAAAAGAATTTCACCAATTATGCTTTCCTGCCAATCATATTTTATTGAAGCTCATTTAAAATATTCAGTAGAATTCATATCTTACCTCCTTTAGCAACAAATATTCTAATTTTATTATAGGGAGAATTTAAACTGGTATGGGGAAAATGTGTTTAATTAACCAGAAAAATTGTTGCTCTTTGTTTAAAAATATCAATATATTTGACAGAACTGTACCACTATTAAAAAAAAAAAACCTTTCTGACAGAAAATACACTGGGAACAAATGAATAAACAGTTTAATTAAAATTATTGATTTATTTATTTCTGATCATCTATTTCTCTTCCAGATTCTTGTATAAAATTATCACATTCACTTCTTTCAGCACATACATATTCATCCTTTATATCCACATGAGAGCCCTACTTATAATTTACATTTAGAACAGCATTCTGAGTTTAAGTGTTTCTCTTACTGTTTTCACCTCCCATATGCTTCAATCAGCCATTTTTTTAGCCATCAATACATTTTTGTAAATTGGGAATATAATGCAAGAAAATAGCAACAATTAAACGTAAATTTAACAAGCAAAAGTAACATAAATGACACAAAATCAAATTGGTTAAGACAAGCTATATCCTGTTATCAAAACTATTAGCAAAGAAGAACTGACAAAGGCATTCCTGAAGTGCACGAATGACCTCTAGGAAAGAGACAATTAGAACCTAAAGGGATTTGTGTGAAAATCACAGTTTTCTACTTCTAACTTGTAAAACTCATCTCAACAACACGGCATGCTTTTTTTTAAAGTGAAAATTGTCAATCCATTACTGATTTAGAAGAATGCCTAGAGCTACCCATGCTTTAGACACAATATATGGAGAAACACAGCTCTACAGGTGATCTATCGGGCAATCATCCATGCCTATGACTTTCTCATTGAATCAGTAAAGAATCTCAACCACATGCTACCATTCAGATCAAATTCCTGACTAAAGGATCAACCCACCTGGTAATCATACACAGCACCATGATACAGTAGGACCAAAATTAATTTATCATGCCCTCTTGCTGTGTCCCTTTGTCTTCCCCAAACAAAATCCTGTTATCATCCCTTGTCTTGTATTTCAGTGACTGGGATCAAATTCCACTAAGTCACCAGAGCAAGGAACCCACTGTGATCTTTGACTTCTCTGTCTCCTTCACCCCCATAAGATGTAGTCATTCACCAACTCCTACTGAGTTCTACTCCTAATATTTATGAAAGCTGCCCCTTTCTCATCTTTCCTACTACCACAAGCATTTCCAGCACCAGCACTATTCACAATAGCCAAGACATGGAAACAACGTATATGTCCATCAACACATGAATGGATAAAATATGGTACATATATACAGTAGAATACTACTCAGCCATAAAAAAGAATGAAATAATGCCATTTGCAGCAGCATGGATGGACGTAGAGATTATTACGCTAAGTGAAGTAAGTCAGACAAAAAGACAAATACTACGGAGGCTGGAGAAGATGGTGGAACAGAAAGACGCGGAGATCACCTTCCTCCCAAAAGATACATCAGAAATACATCTACACGTGGAACTGCTCCTATAGAACACCTACTGAACAATGGCAAAAGACCTCAGACCTCCCAAAAGGCAACAAACTCCCACGTACCTGGGTAGGGCAAAGGAAAAAAGAAAAAAACAGAGACAAAAGAATAGGGACGGGACCTGCACCAGTGGGAGGGAGCCGTGAAGGAGGAAACGTTTCCATACACTAGAAGTCCCTTCGCGGGCGGAGACTGTGGGGGGGCGGAGGGGGAAGCATTGTAGCCACAGACGAAGAGTGCAGCAACGCAGATGCAGAGGGCAAAGCGGAGTGATGCCCGCACAGAGGATCGGTGCCGACCAGCACTCACCAGCCCGAGAGGATTGTCTGCTCTCCCGCAGGGGCAGGTGGGGGCTTGGGAGCTGAGGCTCAGGCTTCCGTCAGATCCCAGGGAGAGGACTGGGGTTGGTGGACTGAACACAGCCTGAAGGGGTTAGTGCACCACGGCTAGCAGGGAGGGAGTCCGGGAGAAGTTTGGAGCTGCTGAAGAGGCAAGAGACTTCTTCTTCCCTCTTTCTTTCCTGGTGCGCGAGGAGAGGGGATTAAGAGCGCCTCTACAAGGAGCTCCAGAGACGGCCGTGAGACGGGCGCGAGCCGCGGCTATTAGCGTGGACCCCAGAGACGGGCATGACATGCTAAGCCTGCTGCTGCAGCCACCAAAAAGCCTGTGTGCAAGCACAGCTCACTCTCCACACCTCCCCTCCCGAGAGCCTGTGCAGTCCGCCCCTGCCAAGGTCCCGTGATCCAGGGACAACTTCCCCAGGAGAACGCACGGCGCGCCTCAGGCTGGTGCAACGTCCCGCTGGCCTCTGCTGCCGTAGGCTCGCCCTGCACTCCGTGGCCTCCATCCTCTCCGCCTGAGTGAGCCACAGCCCCCGAATCAGCTGATCCTTTAACTCAGTCCAGTCTGAGCGAAGAACAGACGCCCTCAGGCGACCTACACACAAAGGCGGGGCCAAATACAAAACAACCCCTTGGAGGTGTGCAAACAAAGAACGGAAAGGGAAGTCTCTCCCAGCAGCCTCAGGAGCAGCAGATTAAAGCTCCACAATGAACCTTATGTACCCTGCATCTGTAGAATACCTGAACAGACAAAGAATCATCCCATATTGAGGAGGTGGACTTTGGGAGCACGATAGATTATTTTTTCCCCTTTTCCTCTTTTTGTGTGTATGTGTATGCTTCTGTGTGAGATTTTGTCTGTATAGCTTTGCTTTCACCATTTGTCCTAGGGTTCTGAACA